ATGACATCATATGGTATGGAATAGCCCTTTGGTCAGTTTGGATCAACTCTTCTGGCTGTGCCCCCTCCCAGTTTCTTGTGCACCTGGCAGAACATGGGAAGCTGCAAAGTCCTTGACTAGCATAAGCAGTACTTCGCAACAACTAAAACATCAGTGTTATCAACATTCTTCTCATACTAAATCCAAAACACAGCACTATGCCTGCTACTAGGAAGAAAATTAACTCTATTCCAGCTGAAACCAGGACACAAGTATAATAAAAAAACCCCAAAACAATGTGTGATATGTCAGCTGGTTGTGACAGGTCTGCAGGCAAAACATAGTAACATATCAAATGACTGCAATGCCTTTCAGCAAGATGCAAAGCAGGATACTGCAGACTGTTAAATCCACTTTGCTAGTAAAATTAAGATTATAATTGCTGTCAAAAAGTAAAACATACTCTACCTGCAAGAAAGAAACAAATCTTCCCATCTGTATTTGGCAATCTCCCTCCACCATGCTGGAATCTGTGGCTTGAAAGAAAAACATTTGTCACTACTTTCAGAAGCCTGTGTTAGACCTGTTAAATTAACATTGAAGCTTGCCCTCCAAGCCATTTGTTTGTCATATAAGTGGTGCGCACTATTGTAAGCATACTGATGGAGCCTTAAAAACTTTTAATTTTGCTTTCCTAAGATGGACTTATTTTTGAAGTTTCTTTCCCATTAAAAATTACATTGTTTAAGTTAGACACAAAGCAGGAAAAGTCTCCATCACCTGAAACAAAATAAAGAATATGAAACATAATTCTTTAAAGGCATATAGATGATGTACCTTAATATAAAAGTTGCCATTTAAAAAGTTGATATGAAAGCACTAGAGATTTACATTGCAAGGAACATCCTTGGTATTTACTGAAAGAATATACTACATCATTAATCAGAAGAAAAAGCTGTGTAGCATACAATTTCCTGAAGAAATGTATTTTCTTTTTCCCACATGTCATCCTGCACAAAAGAACCAGCTCATCACCATAGCTTCAAAGCATTACCTGTATGACAAAGTACACTAACAGGATACTATAAAATACAATAATTACATCACCAATGCCAAATTGTTTCAGTCAGCTGGCGCACTTGTAATACTACCTGACAAAATACAGTCTTTTTAATGTGATGACAGATTAATGCTCTAGACTTGAGATTTTTCTATTGGGCCACTGAGTAAAAATGGCTTACAATTACAAGTTTACCTGCATAAGAAATGCAGGTCTTACTGCTTCATAAAATATGTTATTTTAAAGCAGTCACCAGAGACTAAAGTGGTCTCCACACTTCTGTAAGATAGAGCTCTGGGACAAGATTCTGAATATTGCATGCTTCCTCTTTACACCTTTTATGTAACCTTTACTCTGCTCAGTGTACGTCCCAAAAAACCCAATCCAACTAACTATTTAAAGTTCCTAGACTAGCCCTAACCACTCAAAGGACAAGATGAAAAAGATGTTTCTGTATACAGAAGGAAAAGGCCAGCATAGTATTTGTTTAAATTTCAACCATTCTTAAGCCAGTAACTTTGCCAGCTGTTCTAAGTAAGCAAGCCTGCTGTTATCAAAGTAGATGCTACAAGGAGGGATATGGAAGTGGAGAACATAATTTCTGCATCCCCACCTAACCCACAGAAGGCTGACCTCTCAGTTCCTGCCATTCTCAAGCATTCCCTGCAGAACACCCATAAGGAACAAACTGCTGATATGTTAATCTGCAACAGTCTGACTTTTTTCGTGCTAGAGACATGGAGAAGTTTCGAGAGATCCCCTAGTTATCATTTTGGCAGCATATCACTTTCTTTTAAGATATTTAAAACCATGTCTGATAAGAAGTGAGAATCTGCTAAGGGGGAAAAAAAAAAAGACAAAAAACCAACCCACCACTTTTTCATGTTCTTTAACCAAACCACAACAGTCATCTTACATAGCACTTAAAAGAACGATAAACAGTCCCTATCTCAAAGATTGCACATTCCCCAATATTTCTGTCACAGTCAAGGCTCTTGAAAAGCTTTTTTTAAAGCCCCTTTTTACTACTTTTAGTTTCTCTCAAATTTCTGAAATCGAAAACAAAGTTAGGTGATGTCTCTAAGTCAACTCACTAATATGTTCGGTCCTCAGGACCAAGATCTGGGCTTATTCCCAGACTAGCATCCTTTAAGGTGGAAGCTTAAGATCAACCCTTCGGAGGAGTTACCTGTTTAACTCCAAGACAGAAAGCAGTTTTTGCCTAAAGCAGGGTCTCATGATTTGTTAACCGAATTGGCTTATGCCCCTGTATTATGTCATGGTCTAAACAGTAATACAAATACTAGTACCTGCTCTTGAAGGGCAGATAACATTACCACACTGCAACTTCTCTTGGAACAACTATGATTGCATAAGTAAAGTAGGCAGGACTTGGACCAAGTTATTTATTAATAGTTTCCTTGTTCTATTACAATCAAACTACAGACTTATTGTTTTACTACAACCAATGTAAAATCTAGTCCTAGTAGGAAATAAGTCTGTTTAGGATGTGTTTGCATGTGAAAAACAGGTTTTCAATGCCATACTTCGAAAAACAGCCGCTATGGTATATAAGCTCAGGTTTCTGTATGTTATACATTAAATACAACCTCAACAGCCTATACTCCCTACTTCTCATGTAAATAAGGCTGCAACAAAACTTCCTGTTAATGTAACAGATAAATCTTACCATTATCTGAAGCTAACTGGGGGTAGTTACAAGACACCAACATACATCCCTGTAACCTCAAAGTCCATTATTTGTTGTTCATCAAAGATACAGAGAAAGTATGTATCTGCATTATAAAATTACACTTACTGTAGCATTTAACATAACCTGGAAAAGTAACGTAACACTACTAATTTTTACAGTAAATGGAGCTACTTACCTCCTTCTCCATAAAACAAGAGGCCATTATAAAATTTAGTTTCTGCCTAACAACAAAAGCAGAAATTTGGTTTTTAATAAATAGCATGATTACATATATCCTACAAAAATTATTTAGACATTGTATCTTGTTTCTTTACTGCTAAAAAAAATCAACTTATATATCAGCTTGCCAATCTGCAAACATTTTCATACACAGCAATAAAAGACAGCTGAATTTACCTCATATTTTAACTTCCTGATTTCACAGCAAAGGGCAGCATACACAGTTATTACTTTGTTTAGAACCTAGACTCAAAGGGGAAAAAAACACACAGATTAGATAGATTCACGTTTAGGGCTTGGTCTTAGCTAGAATATATGTATTTTTTTTTCTAGTAAGCATAACACACTTACCTTGTTTTCTGTCTTTATGAGCTCCAGCAGGGAGGACTGTTCATATGGCAAAAGCTAAAATTAAAAAAAAAAAAAAAAAAAAAAAACCACACCACAAAACCCAAAGAAACCACAAAACAAAAACAAACAACTTTAGAAAATATTGGTCAAAAATACGTTCATCCAACTAGGTAAGTCATTTTTTTCCCCCAGTTTAATCGTGAATAAGGTCAGCAATAAGAGAGCAATAATTGCACGTTACTGGCAACCTACACTGCAGGAAACCTTCACTCTTCACCTTTACATGGAAATACCTTTCCTTTCACTCTAGGCAGAAAGGCAAATAACTAGCTATACAGCATTTACAACAATTTACTTACAAAACTTGGAAAGCAAAAGCGTGGTCATTATGGTGTATTAAAAACAGCTCAGGAAACTGAAAACATGAATTAAGAATCCCAAATGCAGGACATCAGATGCATAGTGTGTATCTGTATGCAGGCACTGATATTTTGTACTGAAGTCAGCCATGATATTGACCAGTTCATATCCATCCAGCACTGTGCTGGCCCTACACATAATTTATTCAAATTATTCAGACAGCTGATTACTTAAGAGTTCATCTTCAGCACAGACAAGTTCCATATAGTAGCACAAGCATTTTTAAATGATGTCTGCAAATTCAGTGAAGAGAAAAAAAAAAAAAAAAAAAAGCTCCACAGAGGATAGAGAACACATGACCAAGGAAACGGCCACCTCTGGAGGACAGGAAATACTGTACCAAGGCCATTAAGTCAAAACACAACTATAAATACACACACAGTTTGCTCTGCAGTTATACAAGTATTAGTGAGCTCTTCTGGAACCTCAACCGCCAGATAAAAACACTAACACCCACAGGGAAGAAGTTTGCTGGAATTAGGCTTCCCAACACATGCAGAACTATAAATTCACTTAACTTCCACTAGTACCCAGAAGACTGGAAAAGAATAATATGAAAACATCTTCTCTTACGATATGCAATTTATTAATTATGTGATAGATAATTAAAATAGTATTGGATAGGTTTCTCAAACACTAAAGTAAAAATTTTAAGATCACAAATGCATCAAGCTTTTACTTCTCAGGTTTTGAAGGGAAGGATGAACTAGGAAAATAGCAGTTGCAATGCATATTAAATATATGAAGACCTTTAATGCAATGGGATCAAGACTGAAGTCCCAAACATCTCCAACAGAGTCATCCAAAGCATCTTCAATTCTCTTCAGCTGAGATGTATATTCCTCAAGAAATTTTCCATAATTCTTCAGCTGCACTTCAGCATGAATTTCTGAGAATTGATAACATTTGTACAGTTTTACACACTGTTCAGTAAACTGCAATATTCAAAAATTGTATAAAAAAATATTTAATCTGTTGCTATTTAGCTTGTAGTATTCCTCATTTTGCTGCAGCATTTTTCCTTAATACAACTGCATCTTTAATACAACGTTCTTATTTGTTTAAAAACAAATCATACAACTCAGTGTTTGTTTAAAAGAAATCCAAATACTACTTAAAGAATATCAAACACCTAAGAGGTTTGCAGAAAATTGTTTTTTAAATTTACATATATTTTCAAACTAAGATCTTAACAAACCTAACAATCACATCAAGATGCTGAGCAAAGTAGTGTAAAAATTGTAACACGGCAAGTGATTCTACCCATCGGCTGAACTCGTACATACACAATTATATTAGAACTTCGAGGCAATGGGTCTAATCATTTCAGCCTGCGTAGCAGCTGTATTAGTAGCAACCCCCCTTCCACTCTCTCCCTCCTGCCTCTCAGTGAGTCATCTGGGCATTATACAGGCAGTTTTTGACTTTCAGTCATTCCCCCTACTTGCAAATTCACCATCTTCAAGCAGAACTTTACTTCTGCTTAGCACCTGGACATTGAAATGCACAGCCGTCCTATTCCTGCTTGGGGCAAGTAGGTTTTTATGTTCAAAAGGTAACATTCCGCTGGTCAAACACCAAGAATAGCAGCATTAATTAGCAAAGTAAGTCTAAAAACTATTGGTCCACAAAAGTTTCATTCACTCTTTTTTCTTCCCATATTATGACACTTCCCCCTTCTCCCTCCCCCAAATTATATATACTGACTTAGTTGCATAATCTGAACTACGGAGTGATGATTATAGGTCAAGGCTTCTATGCTCAGTAAGAAAGTACAGTCCTTTTTCATGTGAAGACTAAGGTGTCTTCCCCATAATTAGATAACAAATCTAATAGCTTGTGATCTTCTGCTATTTGTTGAAAATGTATTTATCTAAAAGAGTCAGAGAATGTAGATCAGCTGAACAACTGAACTTTTCCTAAACCAGAATTCAACTCTCACATAGCTTTATACATGCCCTTTTCACATTTCAGCAAGCAGGCTGCTCTAGAAAATTAAAAAGCTTACACTGTTTTATTCTGCATGCTTAACCTCTCACTCATCCACATTGCCAATAAACAAGCCAAATGGTAGTTGATGGCTACATCAGTGGGAGAGCACTACTGAATCAATTATCACTTAGACATTTTTTGGAGAAAGAAAATACTTGACTAAGGCACTGCACCAGGCATAAGGGGAGGGAGGAATGAGTAAGGGCAAATTAATAAGGAAAAGATGAGAAGGACTATGCACAGGACGGTTGACACTGAGGGGGAGAAATGACTGAAGTCCTGAACTAATTCCAAGCTACTACTTTGAAGCCAGCAGCAATGCCAACCATAAGGGCACACGGACTGCAAAGCCTATCCAAGAAGCACGGTAAACTCGCCCACACTAAGTCCCGCACTAGTGCCGTTGAGTTCTACCTGTACCTGAAGCCTAGACAAGTGCACAGGCACTGTCAAAATAAGGAGACTGGATTTCATGTAAACTGATAAGAAGCAAGTGAACAAAAAAACTCTCCATCAGCAGTATGTACTCCAGACACTGATGTATGGCCCTTGAGTTGCATCATCCTATTATTCTATTCCATCAAATTAATCTCGTCTTTCAGGTTTCTTCCAGTGTATCTTCTGGAAGCTCTGCTGCAGAAAACCAGTAGAACACTGATGGATGCAGAGCCCTACAGAACAGATTTTAATGACCCATCATGTCAGTTCCAGTACTTTACTGCTAGAAAATTTGGAGTATAGAGGTATGCTATGGTATTCCCCCAATCCCATCTCCTCCCTTTGCACAAAAGACAAACTAAGAGCAGAGAAACTGACAGAGATATTGGGGCTTTATAGAAGAACAGAAGAAGCTCCCAAGTCATCCAAGAGTAGGAAATTAGCACTGCTGTTCAAATTAATTCCCTAAGAAACAGGCAGCATTTCTCAAACAAAATCTCGCAGCAGTCCTCTGCTAGAGGCCCACAAACTGTCACCTTTCCAGCAGCCAAATGATGAATTTGAACAATGCTATAGCTCAACATAACTGGTATTAAATATTTCCAAATACTTAACTACTGATAGCCATCAATTTGCCACCTTGTACTGATCATATGAGAGACAGGTGTGAATAATTTCTCACCATTTTAGAGAGACAAGAGAGTGAAAGCTATTAGCTAGCCAGAGATAGGCAGGGTTGAACTGATAAAAAGCTTCCCCTGTCTCCTAGTCATTTTTTAAAGATGCAGAAAGTTTTTCCTAAATAAACTGGCTCACAGGGAGAAAGAAAAAGAAGTCACAGAAAGCAGGTATTTTCTTTTTCTTCAGAGCAGCAGATATACTTCATAAGGTATAATCTCTTTACAATAAAGTTTGGTTTAGTTGCTATTCAGGTGATCAAATGAAAGCATTACAAGTAGAACAATGCAAGAGATCTACTCAGCAGTACAGATCCCCCAACTTAATCTTATCTTCTTCCATAAAGTCAGCAATATCAATATGCAGCGGACTTATTGCCACAGCAGGATTTGCAAGTGTTCTGTCCGTAAATATCTAGCACAGAGATGCAACAAACCAGACTTACTTATGTCCTCAGGTGAGAACATTATAATTGCTAAAGGTTAGTGATGTAGGCATAAAGTGAAAGTAGACAACAACAACAAAAAAATGTTTCTCAAGTCACAGGATTTTTCTTTGGCTTTTCTCTAGGAGAATGTTGTGTGCTGCTGTCAACAGAAGATCAGCCTGTTTGGTCACCATCAAGGTGGTGGCAACGGAGCATATTATGTCACATAAAGTTCTCCCAGCTGCACTTCATGTCACAGTCAAACGAGTAGAGATCTGGCATTTTGAGTAAAAGCTACATTTCCAATTCTACAGCCAGAGAACTGGTAAAAAAAACTCAGCTCAGGACAGCTTCAGTTCCCACTGAAACCCAGATTAAATGAATATGGCATAAACAGTATCATCCCTTGGGATAACATTATATGTGAAACAGTTGGTCCATGAGTGACATATTTTCACAGCAACACCTGGTGTAATTACTTTGGCACAGTTCAATTTACAGTGTGTATTACAGTGTGACAGCCATATACATTCCCTGTTTAGAAAGTAGGTCACCTCCACACAGGCTGAGAAAAACGTGGATTTCGACGGGCACACAAACCCACTGCCAAAGACTTAAGCATCACAAGGTCTTATTTAATTATTTTTTAAAGGTGAAACCACAAGTGACCGCCCAACTCCGTGCCAGAAAGCCTTTAGCAACAGAAGCTGCATGCAACTAACTTATCTCGATATGACTTCTCTGGCTAACCGAGGAAGCACCTGCGAAAATTTGTGAGCCGCGAGAAATGATCGGGAAGGAAAAAAACCACCATCCCCACGACAAGCATCTGCTCCTCCTGCCCGGTTCGTGCAAGAAGAAAGTCACGCAAGCCTGCCTTGCCCCCGCCACGGAGACGCCCCCCCAGAGGGAATAAGGGATGAAGGCCTGGAAAAGCCCCTCTCCCGCCCCCAACAACCTCCAACAACTACGGAGAGGGCGGTGGGAGGAAAAAAGGTCACGGCGACAGCCCACCCCCGCAGGCCTGAGCAGCCCGGAGGAGGAGCAGCGCTCGGCTGGCG